AGCTGCGTGCTCTGCCTGGTCGTGGTGAACTCGTTGACCTCAGTTGCTATTGTGGCCTCAGGCTGTATCTGTTAGAGCGTCTGAAGCCCTGCTGCTTCACTTACACCCATGCAGTTGTATTTAAAGGCTTCAGAAGCGACTGGTCCACTGTGTTCACTGTCAACTTACTTCTGCATGTGGTGGAAATAAAGACCTGCCCATATGAGCAATGCTCTCAGGATGTAATTGACATCAGATGTCTGTTTAATTTGTCATAACAACTGGCCGTCAGCTGACCTGGAGTTTCCAATCACATTCCAGTTTTTCTGTGATGACGCTTGGAGGTCAGTTAACATTCTGGACATAGCAGGGATCAAAGTCTTCCATGGCAAAGTTATCTGTATGAAGTCATTATAAAAGTGTTAAATAGTTTACATAAAGGGACAGTTGTATTAGTATGCATATGATTTCTGTGGAACAGTTCAGAAAAACATATGATGTCATGATGATGCATGTGAGTGAACTCATTTTATGATTAACAGCCAAACTATCCAAAAGAGTTTGGTGATGAAGACATTTTTCCCAGTAATTCCCCAGAATTAAAAAATTACAGAAAATTCTTTAAAGGAAACTCAACTTTTGCCGATGTTGTAAGATTTTTGAATTTTACTTTTTGACTTATACAATTTCCTCTTTTCCAAGAACGTGTTGGTAAAAACTCAGGTTTTACTGGGCGTGTCAAATGATTGAAATAATCGGAGTAATCACAACATAGCTGTGGATTGTGAGGTATGTAAGGTTTGAATAGACACTGGACGAGTGTTTAAAGTTTCTCAAGCGACCTAACGCACTGATAGGGAGTAGAAATGTAGTGTACCAGTCAATGGCATGTGTGAGGTCTAATTTTAGAGCATCTCCGTGTGCTCACTAAGAGCTAATATACTTCACTCTGAATTGCACTGGGGACAAGGCTTGATTGTGAGCGTTTCTCCCTCATCTAATGGGAGGCAGGAAGTCAAGTCCGTACCGTGCACTGATATGCTAATGCTAAAAGCACCGACGGAGGCTTTTTCACTGTCAGCAAGGCCTCTCTGCTTTTGGAGCCATTAATTTTGCAGCCCTGCACTGGAGGGATGTGAGTGAGAGGAGAGATAGGAAGAGCTGACTGCCCCCTGGAGAAACCTGCACACACTGCCAACCATTTGAAAGATGTCAACAAATGCTTCTCCTATTCCATCCACCTCGCTCGCAAAGAGAATATGCAAAGCCTGGCTCTAAAATGTATTCAGACATAAGTGATGTCTCAGCAGCCCTGAGCAGGCACAAGCCCTTTCCTGCTCAGTAGAAAAATCATTCAGTCATTAGATTTCTAACCAACATATCGACGACCGCTCTGCGATGCCAACTGGATATCATGATGCATTTCCAATATGCGCTTTTCTCTGACCCACGGTGATGACAGAACGCAGAAAAAGGCTCTCGTCGTAGGAAACGCAAAACATTCAGGATGATTATCGTGTCGTTGATCTAAATACGTGGTTAACTCACAGTGAATTTAAAGACACACAATCAGGGATTCAAATGTGGCCAGTGTCATGGCAACTGTGTTCTGACTTTGTCCTAAAGGTTTGTTTTTCCTCGTCTCACTTCTCCTTCCTTCCCTTGTTTCTCCCCTAGGCGAGGGATGATATATTGAATGGATCCCACCCCGTCTCCTTTGATAAAGCTTGTGAGTTTGCAGGGATCCAGGCTCAGATCCAGTTTGGGCCCCACGTGGAGCACAAGCACAAGCCCGGATTCCTGGAGTAAGCTTTCCTCTTCTAAGAGCCGCTTTGACAAAAACGCTCCACTGTGCTTTCATTAAATTTCCAGCCGCACCTGTGCAGTGTCACGTCCCATTTTTCGGGTCTGTTACCTGAGAGATTCCTCCAGTGGAAGTGAAAAGCTCAGTGATGATGTCATCAACAGTTGCAAATGTTTTCTGACATATAGGCATTAGGGCAAGAATGATCTCACATACAGAGGCATGCTCATAGAAAAGTTCATGCCTGTAGCTGAAATAGTAACCATGTTAAATATCTGTCTTTTCTCCACAGCCTGAAGGAGTTCTTACCCAAGGAGTACATCAAGCAGAGAGGTTCTGAAAAGAAAATATTCCATGTATGTATTTGATGTCACCCTAATGTAGCCCTTTAAGTGTAAAAGTGTGATTTACACCCGTGAGGATTACAATCATTGGTCCTCGATGTTGAGATTGTTTAACATGTCGACCGCCATGTTTCAAGTCTATTTCAAACATACATTACGCAGCCTAAATCGGTGCATGTGTAACAATAGCTGTTTCTTTCTGCAGGAACACAGAAATTGTGGAGAGATGACGGAGATCGAAGCCAAAGTGAAGTATGTGAAGTTGGCGAGATCTCTACAGACATACGGAGTTTCCTTCTTCCTGGTGAAGGTAAGAAGTCAATGTCGTTATTTACACGCACTGCGGGAAAAACGTTTTTGCTTTAAAATACGCAGAATTCATTTGTTGATGCCTCAACTTTAGCTTCGATGCGCAGTGAGATTCTGACCCGCATCACCAAAAGCACACGAGCTAACACGCTGACTGATACAAATATGGTCTGTAGACTGATTCATATAACAAATAACATATAACATATAATATTAAATTGTGTTCTGTGCACTCATTTCAATAGAGATCATGTGAGATAAAAAAACAAGAAAAAAATAAAGGAGATGTAAAAAAAAAAAAGATTAATCAATCTGTCAAACTGACACTGGGAAGTGATTTTCGATTCATATGTGTTCAATAAATGTGCTTTGAAGGTAACCATGACTTTCAGCTCAAGGTAACGACACAGAAAGTGCATGGCAAGAAAGATTTAAAAACTCCAATGTCTGATCGTAACAAGACTCAGATGATTCTTTGCAAAAAACCCTAATAGAAAAGAATCCAAATGTTGGTCAACACAATAAAATCTCTGGACTGAAAAAAAAGCATATTGTTCAAGAATAATTGCTGAGCTGTGTCATTTTAATGACTCATCTGTTTATAATTAACATACATGTAAAGACTGTGTACTAATGAGTGGCAGCTGTGACAATGTTGCCTCAGAAATGCCGTATGTAAACAATCGAAAACAACCTTATTAAAATGTGTCACCATCACAAGACATTCAGATGGATCTTCTCCCATTTTACTCTTCTGTACCTAATGTTCTGCAGCTCATTCATGGCTGTGAACTATGTGTGACTTCTGCTCCGATTTGGCGAACACAATAGCAGAGTAGACGTGTGTGCATGCAGTTGAAAAGACCTTGCACACACAGGCATTATAAAAACGTCCTTCAAAAGCGCTCTAGTTTGTTACAGCACTCGCAGGAAAGAAGGGAAAGGGAGGAAGAGTTCAGTGTCCGGGAAGGCGTTTTAATGGACATGAAATGGAATGTTTGGCTTGACAGTAATGGCAAGATTCACACTATTTCTGTGATCGTATCAAAGAGAGCACATGTGCATCTACATGAGAGTGCTCTTTTTTTTTCTTTTCTTTTTTTGCTTTCAGTGAGGAGATTTTCCGATGGAGAGTTTCAAGACTCTTTTAAATAATTCAGTCCAGCTGCTCTGTGCTCTTGCAGATGCCAAAGTGCAGCCACCACAGTTTTGCTAAAGCACATCTGAGGATTTATTGTTACCTTTTATTTTCCTATCTGACCGTTTTAATTGCTCCAGGCCATAGACCGTGTGTGAAGGTTAATGTGGCCGTCCTCAAAACAGTGTCGTGTGAAAGCCTCAGGATTCTGCAAAAAACACTGTTCTCACTAACAGTTGAGCTGTTTTGTAGCTGTTTTAATTTTGCAAAAATTACATCATATCCCATAATAATAGTGGAAACTTTATTGATAACACCCTGGGGAGATTGTTGTGTTAAGAGCACATCTGCTGCAACGACTATGTGGTTCATCAGGGGCTCAAACCCAGGACGTTCTGCGTGTAAGGCAATTGTGTAAGCTAAGCAGGCGTAATAACCGCCACATTATAGAACTATATAAATGGTTTTGTATATGAATGCGTGTAATACAGCGTTCATGGTGATGCATCAAATTCATTATTTTCAGCCTACTTGCTAACAGCAAATTATGATGTTGTCACAGTCCTCTTTAACTAATGATCAGGTTCACAATTTTGCTTTGTGTCACTGTAGAGGTTCGAGTCAATGAGACTATGTAATGTCTTCTATGTTTGAAGGAATCATTGTCTGCACGTAGAAACGTGTGTTTGTTTTGTTTTAAATAACAGCGGTGTCTCTGTTTATCGTTGCAGACCCCTGCCCTGGGCTTATATATTTATACAAGACTGTAATACTGTATATCTTGACAGATTTGCAAAATACTGTAAATGAGGCGTGTGTTAATATAACAAACAATAAACAAGGTTAATGGTTTTAATAGAAACCCCAGATGTCCACTTTAGATTAGAACATCAAACTTCCTGCTTTAAGGCTGCCTCCGTTGTTTGGTTCATGTACGGCTACCTGAAACAATGGAGGTTTTTAATAAACTGTTGTGTTACGAGGCCGTGAACACCGATATAATGTTATCTGTCCTTGTGTTTGAGAGCCCTGAACCTAGAAGCCATTCTACCACACGGCCTTGTTCCTTCTATTCTAAGAGCTCTGGGTTTTAACACTGTGATAAAACAACAATAGCCTGGAGGCATGAAATTGATGTATCTTAATTCTGCTCCATCCCTGTTAATTTCCGTATTCTCGTCTGCACTTCTGCAGCACAGCCACGTTTCGCCTCTAAAGTGAGCTGTGAATGATTCAGTGGAGAGAGTAGAGGGCACTGGAGTTGGTCAGGCAGAGAACGGTAGAAAATACCAAGGTGCTGTGCTGACAGTGACTAAAGTCTGTGGAGACCCTGCTCAATAAAGCAGCCGTTAAACAAGGGTGAACTCTGCCGGATCACTTCACAGCTGTCTTTCTCCACCACTTCATGCCTTAAGTCACAGCCGCAGAAAAGAAAAGCCATGATTTTTGAGAGGCCGGCGCTCGTGAATCATCGGTGTGGGTGTTTAGCACAGACATAAACGCAGTCTGATGTTTTCCTATCTGACAGGAAAAGATGAAGGGTAAAAATAAGCTGGTCCCACGGCTGCTGGGGATAACCAAGGAGTCGGTGATGCGAGTGGATGAGAAGACAAAGGATGTGGTCCAGGAGTGGCCTCTGACAACTGTCAAGAGATGGGCTGCCTCCCCCAAGAGCTTCACCCTGGTACTGTGTGACTGTTGGCATCAAGTCAACGTTCAGCTGTGACACACAGTCATAATCCCTGAAATATATATGACATATTCTGCTATTTTTGCATAGAGTTGTTTAAACAACTTTGTATCACATTTATTATTTCCCCCTTTTTTTCTTTTTAAGAAAACAGACAGGAAAATGTTGAGCGTGGGATTGATTTTGTTCAGCATCCAGGGCAAATATTTCCTCCGAGTTAAGAATAGGTGCTCACACAAGTACTTGTGCAGAACTAGGATGTATTATTTACATAAAAGCTTTTTACAAACTTCCCAGCAACTGCAGACTGTTTTATTGAACTTTGGTGATGGAGCTACTCCAGTTAAGGATTAGTGTATTTTATGAACCTAAACCTTCAAAGATCATTTGCCACATTTGATGTCTGCTGCCATTTAGTGGCACCAACAGAAATTACAGTTGACTCATTGTAATGCATGAAATAAAAGAATTGACATCAGTCTATACTTACTTCTACCAGTGTTCGCTGGGCCGGATCAGAAAGCCCAGCAGGCTGTATCTGGCCCACAGGCCATAGGTTTGTTTTATACTAACAAAGGCTGGCTCCACTGCTTTAGGATTTTGGGGAATACCAGGAGAGTTACTACTCTGTCCAGACCACAGAAGGGGAGCAGATATCCCAACTCATCGCTGGCTACATCGACATCATTCTCAAAAAGGCCAGTAATGACCCAAAATTAACTCAGTGTTTTTGTCTCTGGTCTGCATTGTAAAGTCTGGATGCTGAAATGCTCTCCTCTCTACAGAAACAAAGCAAGGATCGTTTTGGCCTGGAGGGAGATGAGGAGTCCACCATGCTGGAGGAATCTGTTTCCCCCAAGAAGTGAGTATTTATCTCATGTATTTATCTGTTGTCCTGTCAGTTCTCTGCTCCACACAGGAGGATGCTGACAGTTCTTATTTGGCCTAGTTATTCCTCATGAATTCCAGGCCTCGATCTTTAATCGTGCATGTAATTACATTTCTGCCTGTGCAGCATTGTTCCCCGAGACAAGGGGCCGGTAAATTCAAACAAAAACAGTACTTTGAATTTCAGTGATATTCGTACGGTGGTTTGCGAGGTGTTATCTTTCCTTTTCAATTTGGTTTTTTGTACTGTAAGTACTGTACTGTACTGTACTGTAGTGTACATTACTGTACTCTGCTGCTGTTAGTGCTGTGAATTCATCCACTGTGGGACATATAAAGGACATTTTATCATAGGTCATCTGAGGTGTGAGGATCAAGTATCCCTGGTTTTTGCATTATCACAATTATCACAATAACAAACCTAAAAAATATATATATATCCTCAAATTATTTTTTATTGGTAAAATATAGTATATTTACAACTATATGTAAATAAATATCACACTGAAACACAATTCAAGCTCATTTAATTGCATTCCATGCATTCATTTATGTTTAATCACGGTGCTCGGAAATTAGTCAGTACTAGAAATCCACATGGTGAAAAGAATCTCTGGCAGCGAGAGGCTTCATATTCCTTCTGTTCACTGGCCAATTTACTCATGCCGCGGTTGTCAGCACAAAGACATAATTACTGCTTCTCCAAACAAGCTAAAATTAACTGAAGGAGAAGGGGCAACTGTTGAGCACCGGAGGAAAACAGGCGTTTGTCTTTAGAATATACTTTTTTTAAAACTCAACACACCCACTCTGCTCCAGAAACAGGTTTTAATAACAGTTTTTATGATTTAGGTTATTGTATGTATATTGAGTGCAGATTATGATAACGGAAACAATTACTTATATTTACAATTTAACGCAAGCATAGCTGAAGGAGAAGTAGCCATATTCTTGATAGACGTTTAATTCCAAAACCAATGGAACACATTTATTTCTATTGGAAAATCACTGTTTGAAGATAGTGAGTCACTCACTTTCTTACTTACAGTATATAGGGGTGTTATCAACTAGCAGCCCGTGGGCCAAATTTGGCCTGCTGATCCGTCAGATCCAGGCCTGTGATTTTTATTTTATTTTATATAATGTTAGCCATAATGTGATTTTTATTCCGGCCCCCAAACTGTCCGTCCAGGAAAATTCTGGCCGTCCCACTCTGGTCTAGTCTGTTGCTAATTCAGATACGTGACAACCGAGCACAGTCCTATGTAGAGAAGCAGACTTGGCTGTTTGAATACAATATAGTGAGAGAATCTCACCTTGGGACCAGATGTTGATTAATCAATCAGTGTGTGTTTCCTGGTGTTGGGCAGCAAGTGTTAGACCCCCAGTTGATGAGTTAAAGCTCCCTGTATTAGATATAAGTTTAAACTGTATCCACAAACAGACCTGTATCTAACAACTTTGTGATGAACGTGTTTTATAATGAAACCTGTTGTTCACGTCGTCTCTCTTTTGCTTGTGGTTAGGTCAACAATTTTGCAGCAGCAGTTTAACCGAGTCGGTCGTGTGGAACATGGCTCAGTAGCACTTCCAGGCATAATTAGGTCGGGATCTATTGGCGGCCCTGACACCTTTAATGTGGGTACTATGCCCTCTGCCCAGCAGCAAATTACAATGGGGCAGATGCATAGAGGACACATGCCTCCACTGGTGAGTCAACGCATTTAGGAGCAGGAAAAAAAAAATCATTGCTCCTCAGACTAATACATCATCAAAGATATAAACATCTTCTTTAGCTGTACTTTGATACTAACATTCAACATTTTATCTATGACTTGTATCTACTGTATGTATTACTGCTAAGTGGATTGAATTATATATGATGTAGAATGTGGAAATGCTGCTGCCTGCTATCAATAATGATGCACAGTGAGAAATATAAATGTGTCTTTGGGTGAGACTTTGAGCAAAAAAAAAACCAAAACATATATAGGCTACATTTGCTAATGTTTCACAGTGATAAGGCCTGTTTAGTCATTGTGTGTCTGTATTGTTGTGTTGGCAGAGTCTGGCCCAGCAGGCGCTGATGGGGACCATCAACAGCAGCATGCAGGCTGTGCAGCAGGCCCAGTCAGATCTGGGACACGTTGATAATCTCCCTCCACTGGGTCATGACCTGGTGAGTCGTCCTCTCCACTTGTCACGCCGTTCAGACAGAGCTGTTTTTGGAATGGATAAAAATAAACCTCTGCACATTTTTCCTTCATTTAAATTCCATTTTTACTTGCAGTAACTAAGTATTTCTCATATTCCAGCATCTGGTTTGGCTAAACAGAGAAACCTTTGGAAGAGCAAAACATTCTCAATGCATCAAAATCAGTCAGAGTCCTCCAGTATAGTCATGATGTAGAACCACATAGGCTGAACTCAGCGCATGAGCATTTCCAAAGCTGTAGGCGTTACAGGCAGAGCCCTTTAATCCCTTGACGAAAAAGTTTATATGAAGTGAAAATCACCCACTGTGATGAAAGCCAAAAGCTCTCTTTTTTCCTTCTGCACCCGAAGGCATCCAGAGTTTGGGTCCAGAACAAAGTGGATGAATCCAAACATGAAATCCACTCTCAGGTGGATGCTATCACCGCTGGAACAGCGTCCGTGGTCAACCTCACTGCAGGTGAGCTCTGGGTGGAATAGCAAATAAAATTTAACGATCATTAAACACCATGTTATTCTCACTGTTTGGTTATTTTAACTTCAGAGACTAAATTAGACCTGTATTTAAAAAGAAAATAAACAACTTGAAATTGTTGCAACCACATCATTCAAAATTATACCAGTGGTTTCCAAAGTGGGGGGCGGGTTCCTTGAGGCTCTCGGAGCTACTGCAAATTTTTGTAGGATTTTTTTTTTAAACAGTCTTCTGAGGTTTGAGGCGATAGCTGTGAAAGTGTGGACAATAGTCTGTTCTACTCTACAGTGACACCCACTGGTCCTAGTGCCAGTACTCAGGAGCTACCAAAGGTGACCCCTTTGAGAAGCCTGTGTTTCCAGTTTTCCCACAGGATATCTAATGAAAAATAAATTAGGAACTTGTTGTCCTAACATAACAAGTTAAATATCTCCCCGTCTCTTTGCCTTATGTTACTTGGCACCAGGCCAGTCCACGTTCTGCCAGCCTTGTGATGGATTTTATTCCTACCTCACCATCTGTTTGTTTGCACTTATGTTCCCCCATTACCTCCGAATGTTTTCTTCTCAGGGCCGCTCATTGTATTTTTCTTCTGAACTTGTGCAAAAACAGCTTCATATCTTTGCGTGTCCACAGGTGAGCCCACAGAAACGGACTACACCGCAGTGGGTTGTGCCATCACGACCATCTCTTCCAATCTGACTGAAATGTCCAAGGGTGTCAAACTGCTGGCAGCGTTAATGGACGATGATGTGGGCAGTGGACACAAGCTCATGGGTGCTGCCAGGATGCTGGCAGTGGCTGTGTCTGATCTGCTCAGGTCTGTGGAGCCTGCTGCCGCAGAGGTGAGCCGCCCGCTGGTTGTTTTTCTGACCGCTGTAATCCTGGCAAGCATGTGTGTGTGTGTGTGTGTGTGTGGTGTTCAACTGTGTGCTGTCCTTATTATCACCGTCCCACTGAAGCTGTGCTGAAGAATGGCTTTCTGCGTTGAATTCTGACCCAGAAACCTGTTTTAGATAATTCACCGAGGCATGTGTGAGAACAGGCCAGCCCGGAGTAATGAGGTGATGTGTGAGAACAGGCCAGCCCGGAGTAATGAATGTGCTGATGTCATCTTCACACAGCCCAGACAGACTGTGCTGACTGCGGCAGGAAACGTTGGACAGGCCAGTGGAGACCTTCTGCGTCACATCGGGGAGGGCGAGACCGATGAGAAGTTCCAGGTTGGACACCGTCCACTCACTCTCTCTCTTTGACAGGATCTGCCAAACAGGAAGGAACATAAGATAATCTCAGAGCTCCCTTTAAAATGTCAACAAACACACATGAAACCACATCAGACATTATTACTTTACTGTTACTTCATAGAACAGCTTTTATCAGTACAGTAACGTTAGGATTCTGTTCATTTACAGTACATCAAATGAACCAAATTAGTTTAAAACTTGTTTTTTTTTCTGTCGTTACTCTGCACACAGCTCAGCTGTCCCTTAATAAATGGATTAATATGTTGCAGGACACACTGATGAATCTGGCCAAAGCGGTGGCCAATGCAGCTGCTATGTTAGTCCTGAAGGCCAAGAACGTGGCCCAGGTGGCAGAGGACACCATACTGCAGAACAGAGTGATCGCAGCTGCAACTCAGTGTGCACTGTCCACCTCACAGCTGGTAGCCTGCACTAAGGTACTGATTTAAACTTGTTTATTTCCATAAATTATTTCCAGATGGATGGAATCCTCCAAACTGAGTTCACAGTCATTAGTTACTTTGACCACCAGACAGGTCACTCTGCAGTTTATCCCTCAGAGACTCTAACATCACAGATTAAAGCTGCCATTTCATGAGAATAGAGACAGAAAATGTCATTAAGTCCCTATTAAAAGGAAACATCATATTTACACCAAATACAAAGCTTTTTTTTTCTAACAAAAACTACTGAGTGACAAAAACAACATTACCAGAAAAGTTAGTACACGTGTCACCCAAACAGACCCAAACAGACCTGACCTATTTTCTTCATCCTTGATTTATTTGGTTAAGTCAAACTTTGCTGTGAATACCTGTAGCACTGAACCAGTTCTAAACCCACGCCACTGTGTCGCAGGTGGTGAGTCCGACCATCAGCTCCCCAGTGTGTCAGGAGCAGCTCGTCGAAGCCGGGAAACTTGTGGATCGATCCATGGAAACCTGTGTGAAAGCGTGCAGATCGGCCAGCGACGACAGTGAGCTGCTGAAGCAGGTGGGGGCAGCGGCGGGGGGGGGCAGCC